ATGAATGGCCCAACACTGGAGGACAAATTCTACAGGCCATGACTAAGAAGTCTTCCTACACCTTAAAGAAAAGGAGCATTCTTTGTGGATAGTGAGGTGCACGTTTTCAACAAAGGAACAAGGAGAACTGGTTTGCAAGAGGCCACCTACGTCAAAATAAAACAACCATCCTTGAATATAGGGGGCCTTCAACATCATCTGTCTTCCACATATAGCGGTTAATTTACTAAAGCTGGTTCACCCACAATCTGGTGCAGCTGTGCAATTAAGCTCTAGCAATACAACCTGGAAACTGATTGGTTTCTATGCAGAAGTGCATGAGGTTCTGAGTGAACCAACATTAGTAAATTAACCCCATAATACCTTTTTGAACATTTTTACCCTGGCGATTTGAACAAGATTCACACCTTTACCCATGTGAATCAAAAAACCACTAGGCAAACTAGGCGGCCACCTAGGGTGCACTGCCACCTAGGTGCACCTGAGCGCAGCACAGGCCGGCACTCTCTCTGTATATGACGCTGCAACATCATGAATTATCCTCCAGCTGAGAGAAGGGGATGCAGAGGGGAGGAAGAAAGGACAGAGGAAGATGCCCGGTGTCTGGGGCCAGTGTAGCACCTAAGCTTCTGCTCCTTCTAGTATTCCTCTCAGACTCAGTCCCTTACTGCAAGCCAGGCGGCTGCTGATCACTGTGGATTTCCAGCCCTTCTCTTCCTATTCAACAGCAAAGGCATAGCTGCGCCTGCGGAGGAAGGTAATGTCTGATGTCTTGTAGCTGTGTGAGTGTGACACGACTGGCCATCCATCACATGTGCAATGTGTCAGTGAGTAATGACATCATCATGATCCCAAAGCCTGCTCTTTTAGTGCCTGCTGGGCATGCTGATCTGTGTAAGTGTTGTTGGTGGTGTGTTGTGTCGGATCTGTCACTGTGCGGGATCGCTCAGTTCAGGTGTTCTCTGTGTGTGTGGGGGGGCTGGGCTGCCTGCTGTCACAGCATTTTATCTCCCCCCATTGCCTGGCGAATTCCAGCCTGGGATCTGTCAGAGTGTGGATTCATCATCCTCACTCACTGCAACTGTTACCCTGCCACTGCCAGCCACAGATACAGTCCATACGTGACACTGATTTTGTCTTTAATATTGGTGCTGGTGGCATCTTTTAGCACTTATTTTTGCAAATGAAAAGAAATTTTGCAGTTTCATGCTTTGTGGAATAATATGAACAACAGTTTTTTATTTTTTTTTTTTATTTATTTTTGAAGTCGCAGCCGGGTCTTGGCTAGTCTACCGGCCCTGGATATGTAGATATGTTTCATCTACCATCATCCATGAATACGTAGAGCACAGGTGTCAAACTGGTGGCCCTCCACCTGTTGCCAAACTACAAGTCCCATGAGGCATTGCAAGATTGACAGTTACAAGCCTGACTCCCAAAGGTAGAAGCATGATGGGACTTGTAGTTTCACAACAGCTGGAGGGCCGCCAGTTTGACAACCCTACTATAGAGGATTGTCAGTTTTCCCATTTAGCGCAGTGAAGGACAGCATCAAAAGTTAGCATTTGAGCAACTTCACACTGCCCTGATGTGGTCCCACTGCACTTTGGGCAAAGCTTAACTAACCGGTCTTGGGTGGGTTAGCTTCGCTTTCCCATAGACTGTCCCGCTGTCATCGCAGCATGCAGGAGTTTTGGTACAGGTTCCAAAATCTCAGTGCTGACGTCACACCGCAATACCATCCCGAGTCATCAGTGAGTCTCTCAGCGAGTTTTTATTGTGTTTTTTCGCTGTCACATTGTTGTAACTGGATGACTGGCTCTTTTCTACAATAAACATTTTTTTCAACTACTACACTATCACTGACTTTCTGTTGTCTCCTTGGTGAGCTCCATCTGTTCCAATGTGATTTGCCTTTTGCTGCTGTCTAAAAGGAGTGATTCTGGAGTGGAAGTGCATACACCTGGGGAGGATTTGTGACTGAGAAACATGCTGCGTCTGCTGTACCTGTTACAGCTTATGGTTTGGTGAGTGTGCACTGGATTAAGGTGGTCACACTTGGTGTTTTCGTTACACTACAAGGATTTGCTGGATGGTGGAAGATCTTTTTTATCTGAATATATATGGACTTTGATTCAGAGAGACTTCATGTTTGGCACATTGAACACTATTTACTCATTTTGTTTTTTTTTTTGTTTTTTTCTTATATTCACTTCAACTGCATAATTTCACAATATTGTAGCTTTATATGATGTTTTGTCTTAAGAGATACCATTAGTTTTGTTTTTTTTTTTTAGCTTCAGAAAGGCTGTGGTAGACATACAGGGTTAATATCAGTGTTGGCCAGGATGACCACAAGCTTTAGGCAATAAATCTACTAACAGATGGGGGGAAGAAAAGAAGATATGTAACTAGCAACAGCATGATCCCAAAGACTCTGTTGTGCATCTGACAATCAACTGTTCTGGAATAGAGACTTTAGAATATCTGAGTTTATGTAACAATACAATATCTGCCTTATCGTTATATGGACACTGATTTTTTTTTGTGTGTGTGGTGCCTTTACAACCTCTCTAGTGGGGCCTCCTTCCATTCCAGCCACCTAGGCTGCTATGGGTAAGGTTATGCCACTGCTTGCAGCTATCCATCATTAGTTTGGCTAGTTCGCAAGGGATAATTAACCACTAGAACACCAAATTAAAAAGTAGGCCAAACTTAGGATATCTCTTATATGGATATGTGGTCTCAGAAAGTCTATTAAAATGGTTGTAAACCCTACATATAACCAGTGAAGTGACTGGCCTCAGGTGATGCATAGAGATGAAACAAATCCTTCTACATAAGTTGTACCTGTCTACCTGCTGTCTTCTCTTCTCTATATCCCGTCAAAGTCAGAATTTATAAAACTTGTCTGAGGTGTCAGAAAAAAGGGGGTGGAGAGCTGAAACTACACTCTGCAGAGCTCAGTGAGGAGAGCTCCCAGAGCTGATTGGAAGGAAGAGACACACCCCCTTCACACAGCACATAGGAACTGAGCTGAGACTGTCAATCAGCTGAAGGTACCTCCCCTGTCACCATTTTTCTCTTGATGTCAGGAAAACTTGTCAGAAGTGACTCATGCTGATAGCAGAGGAACAAAGTAATAGACAGAATTGACACTTATTACACTTGAGGCAAGTATACGCTATATTTCAAGTCTGAGGTTTACAACCACTTTAAGGGAGTGTTGTCACCCTAGGACAGAAAATGTGTTACTTGCAGATTCACTAGGTGAAAATAAAGGGAAAAAATGGACAAAAGATAACTAATGCAGCCATCACACTTAAGGATTGGTAAGTGGAAATATATTTATTTTTGTTTTGGGGTTTAACTACACTTAAATGAGAGATCTTCCTGTGTATGCCCAATCATAGAAAATTGTCAGCTTGAGGAGTTATTTTTGTTGCCTTTGTTATGAAGTCGAAAGTGAAGCAGAAGAGCAGTACCTATGTAATCATATAACAGGAATGTTAGCAGAATGTTGTAAAGGAAATGAGTGTAGGGGTGTAGTTGTGAATCAGACTGAACAGAATAGGAAAGAGGCTAGGCTATTATCTTCCCACACTCCTATGTGAACTCAAACTGAGATCTTCTACTCCACAATATCTTTTTCCACATGGTATACCAGGAGCTTCAATGATAACAAAAGTTCCTTATAATTTATTCAGTATGCACCTCTCCAGATATAGGCATGCCAATATTTTTGTAGAAAACCAGAACTATACTCACTTCAATCAAGGTGTAATTAATGGTGATTTTTTTTTAATCTTTTAATGGGACATGTGGTATGTTATAACAGGACAAGTGTGTATCAGTCTACTATCAGCTTCTGTTTATTTTCAAAATCAAATTCAATATTCTCTTACATCTCATGAACTGGAATATGCCTAGCAGCTAACTATGTGTTTGCCAGGGATCACCAAAGTGCACGCAAGGGAAGCAGTAGAAGAAATGTACTACCTAGGTGTGAGGGTAGGAAAGGCCTACACTAAAACACCTACTTTTGGTCATTATGTTGCTGTACTTGCTGAGATTTCTAATAACCACCAGCACTGACACATAAGTGGAATGGAGTCTAAAAGACAATGGACTGACGTGATGATGATAAATCTATGGTAATATGACTATACTGTAACCATAGGTCAATGTAGTGTTGTAATGATTATAAATCTATGGTAAAATGACTAGACTGTGTGTAACCATGGAGCACACTGCTTGGTGGAGGTGGCTGCCATTTTTGTGAGAAATGTTTTAAATAAACTAAGAGAATCTTTAACAGTCATTAACAATTTATCTTGCTACCTACATGCCTAGGAAGAGTTATTTATAAAACCATTTCGTAAAGCTGTATGCAACTGTTTCAGTGTAGCCATTGTCAGTATAGAGCAGTGTTTTTCAACCTTTTTTCAGTTAAGGCACTCTTTAAAATTATGGACAGTCTTGAGAATTTTAGAATAGGGTGCCTCAAGACTGTCCATAATTTTAACCTCCCTAGCGGTATGATTATTTCAGATTTTTGGTGCTGAAAGCGGTACCTTTATTTTGCATGGAAATATGTAGTTTTTTTTCATTGTAGGCTGTAATTTTTAGGAATAACTCAATGAAATCTGTCCGAACAAGAGTATTAAACATCCCGGGTATGATAAAATTTGAAACACAAAATCATAAATTATAATTTAATAAATAATCATAAAAAATAATATAGTAATAATACATTTAATTCAATAATATAATCAAACTGAAAACACTGAAATTTGAAATAGAGCGCCAAGTTCGTACATTGCTGAGCAAAGTCTCAAAATCGTTTTGCAGTCTCTGATGACGAATTTCTCCACGAATCATTATCACTCAATTCTGCAAGTGGTTCTGATTTACTATCACTGTTCTCTAGCTGATCTAAACACGCTTTTGACCTAAAGGGACACTTTTTGGACGCCATGGACGTTTCACAGTTTCCAGGCAGAAAGAACAGACAAAATGCAGTCAGGGCACAGGACAAAGCACTAGGGACAATATGTATGTGAAATGGGTTGAAACAGCAATGTTTTACTATGAAAAATGTGTTTTGAAAAAAAAGACATTTTTTAAAATTTTCAAATTTCCTGCCGCCGGCGGCGCCCGTGCGTTCCGACGTCACAGGGACCGGAACACGGAAGCCGGATGCCGGCATCGGCCGGAGGAGATGGCCGGGAACGCTGCAGGGGAAACATTGCGGGAGCGAAGGTCAAGGTAAGCTCTGCAGGGACTCCCTATGCAGCGCTGCATGGTAAGCCTGAGTGTAGCTCGGGGTTACCGCTTTTGGCACTGACGTTTTACCCCGAGCTACACTCGGGAATAGGTTAAAAGGGCACCCCATTCCTATGGGAAGCGCATAAGGCCACGGTGCGGGGTCATGTTATACAGCTGGCTGCGGTCCGGAGGCGGGAGCGGGAACGTCGACTCTCGGAGCTTCATTCTCTCTCCTGGCCTCTGCGGATGCGCGTTGGAGGTCATCTCCATCCGTGGCCCATAAACGCGCTCGGGACGCTCTGGCGACAGAATTGGACCTCCTTGCCTCTTCGGAGGCGGAACGGGCCTTGCGTTGGACCAAACATAAATTCTATTCGTGTGCTAATAAGCCCGGTCCCATGCTGGCCAGGAAACTAAATTCTGTGGGGAAACCTCATAAACCGATTCGGCTTCGACTTTCCACGGGTGGCTGTACTTCTAATCCCAAGCAGATTGTTTCCCGATTCTCGGACTTCCTTTCGCGCCTTTATGCTGCCCCAGATCCCTTCCTGTGGCCCAGGCAGAGGCATTCTTTCAGGGCCTCCATCTTCCTGGATTAACCGAGGCAGCACAGGCGGCCCTCAACGCAGGTGTCACCGTACCGGAAGTGCTACAAGCAATCAAATCTTTACGGTCCACTGCGGCCCCAGGTCCAGACGGCTTCTCTCCGGTCTCTATTATAAAAAATTCTCAGCCCTTTTGGCACCCTTTTTAGCTGCCTACTTTAATGAGTTACGACAGGGCTCCTTGCCCTCTCCGGACGCACTTAGGGTACATATCTCTATGATTCCTAAGACGACCGATGATGTCCAGGAACCGCAAGCCTTCCGGCCCATCTCTCTTCTTAATGAGGACTTGAAAATATTGGGCAAGATCCTTAGTTTTCACATCAATATAAATATTTGTGTAGCCTGGTCCACAGGGACCAAGTAGGGTTCGTCCCCGGGAGGCAGGCGGGTGATAACGTCCGTAAGGTGGTCCATCTTAGACATTTTCTGCAACAACGGAAAATCCCAGGATTCTTACTGTCCTTGGACATATATAAAGCTTTTGATTCTCTATCCTGGGAATATCTGCGGTTTGTGCTGTCTCGCTGGGGTTTCGGGGATTCTATTCTCTCATGGATTCAAGCCTTGTATTCCTTTCCTTCGGCTTCCGTTAAATACGCTGGATATTTCTCGGATCCCTTTCCTGTTGGGCGAGGGACGAGGCAGGGCTGCCCACTGTCCCCGGCACTCTTTGTCCTGGCGCTTGAGCCACTGGCTTTAGCGCTCCGGACCGACTGCAATGTATCGGGGGTTCCATACGCGGGACAGGAGTTTAAGCTGAGCCTCTTTGCGGACGATGCCCTCTTGACCCTTACTAATCCTCTGACGACGCTTCCTAATTTGCAGGCAATTCTTGAGCGCTTTTCCTTGATCTCGGGTCTAAGTATTAATTTGGATAAAACCGTTGCTCTCAATATTACTTTGGCTTCAGATTTGGTTTCACGCCTACAATCCCATTTCCCTTACCGGTGGGCTTCCTCTTCTCTTGAATACTTGGGCATTCGCTTGACCCCCACCTATGACTCCCTTTTTGCTGCAAATTATTATCCTTTGCTTAGCTCCTTATCTTCTCTTATGCATTCTTGGCAATTTCCGCACCTGTCTTGGATAGGACGGGGTTCACTCAGTGAAAATGACCATCTTGCCGAAATTGTTATATTATTTTCGCACCCTCCCAGTGCGGGGTTCCCCTCATTTTCTTCGGTTGCTTCAGGTGAAGTTTATGCGTTTTATCTGGGCCAATAAGCATCCCAGAGTTTCTAGAAAATACGCTCTTTGCTCATAGACTCCAAGTGGTCTTGGGGTACCCAATGTAACTAAGTATTATCAGGCGAGCCAAATTGCTCCCGCTGTCTATGTTGCACGCTTCCTCCGACGTTCCTCTCTGGGTCCTGCTGGAACTACCTAATTGTGCCCCTATCGCACTATCGACACTTCTATGGCTTCCCCCTGCCCTGCGTCCTACGGCGCTGAGTCCGATGTGCTCCATGGCCTACGAGTCTGGGACTCAGTACGTTACTCCAGTGGTCTGATGTCACCTTTCTTGCCCTTGCTTCCAATCGTTAATAAACCCTCTTTTCCCGCCGGGTCTAGATCACCCGAGGGCATTTTCTTGGTGGGTGGCTCATGGTTTCTCACAGGTGCAACACTTTTTGATTTTTTGGTCCTTTCCCACCTGGAATGTCCTCCGGGAGTCTCGGGATGTTCCCCCAGCGGAATTTTTTCGGTACCTTCAGTTGCGGCACTGGCTACTCTCGCTGAGGGCCACTTCTGCTTTCCCATATCAGAAATCTGCCTTTTGAACGGCTTTGCCAGCAGCGTCCGGGCGCCCCGGGCCTTATCTCCCTTCTTTACGCAGCTTTGAACAGATGCTCGTCGCACACTTCTCTTTCATATGTAGTTCAGTGGGAACGCGACCTGGGAGTGGCTGTGGATCCGGAGGACTGGAATAAAGCCTGGTCACTCATAGCTAAATGTTCGTTTAATACGACCACGCTGGAAGCAGCCTATAAGGTATTGTTTCGTTGGTATTGGGTGCCGGCTCGTTTGGCCCAGGCTAACCCTGCCTGTAGTGATCGATGTTTTCGGGGTTGTGGCCATCGTGGCGATGTACTGCATATCTGGTGGTCATGCCCGAGGTTGGTTCGTTTTTGGTCTCGTGTGTTTGGCCTCCTTTTCACTTTGTTTCATCTCTCATACGCCGGGATGCTCGGTATGCTTTGCTTCATTGCCCCATACCGGGCCTCTTGGCTCGTCAGCAGCGGTTGGCTTCCTATTTGTTTTTATCGGCCACTAGGGACAATTGCCCAGGCCTGGAAGAGTCCGTTTTTGTACTATTTCAGGGGGTGCGGGATCGTATGACTACTATGATGCTCAATGAACAGATGTCGAGTATATGCAACGACTCTCAACATAAATTTTTGACAATATGGGAGCCGTGGTTGCAAAATGCCTTTCCACGCTCCCCCCTGCCAGTATAGGGAGGTGAAGGAGTTTTGTATTGGCGCTCATGGACCCTTGCTCTTTGGTGTGTGTTTTTTTTTTTTTTTTTCTCTTTCTTTCTTCTCTGCTTTTCTTCTTTCCTTTTCTGTTTGTTTGATGTGACAGTGGACAGCTGTCTTTAGGTGCGATAATCTGGGTTTCACTGATGTTATTGTAACCTATGTGCCATTGATAGCCCCTGCGCGGGCATACGTTTTGCCTTATTGGAATTAGAGCGTTGTCTGCTCTATTATGCATTTTCTATCGGTGCAATTGATAGCCCCTGCGTGGGCGTGTTTTGTTGCCTCTGTTTTATACTGTTTAAAATTAATAAAAACCATTGAAATACAAAAGGGCACCCCATTCTAACATGTGAAAAACTATTCTAATAGTTTTATATAATGCAACAACATCCACACATGTAGGGCACCTAAAATTAGAGGTGATTTATTCATCCAAAGCAAATACACTTTTGCACACTTGTACTGACTAATATTCCAGTGTTTCCTTTCTCCCTCAGTTTTCATCCATCATTGAGCTAATGTGACCCCAGCACTGATGGAGAGGGGCAGGGGGAGGGTCAAACTAGGATGCTGTGCAGGCAGCTGACATGCTCCCTCTCAATTGATGATGTCATTGGTTGTCAGGACGCTGGCGGCTAGAAGGTCATAATGGTGCACAATGAAAACCTGTGGCTTTGTGTAACTAAAAGGCAGGCTTGATCTACCTGCTGGCTTGTTTACAAGTTTTGGGCAAATTTTAGACATTTTGCCAAGGCACCCCTGGAGAAACCTCAAGGCACCCCAGGGTTCCTGGACACCCTGGGTGAGAAAGGCTGGTATAGAGTACGGTGGCCATGGCTTCCCTGTAACAGGGTTTCGAATTGAACAGTTGACACAGATGTATAAAGAGAGAGATTTGCATGGTTTCACCCACTGTATTTAAAGTGTTACTAAACCCAGGACCCTGCATTCACAATATTTGGCCTCTCACAGTACACACAACATGGAAGTGCAATTATTTTAGTAAATATAAACTGCTAAATACTGTGTTCTCATCATCAGTATATATAGCATTGTTGTGCCTTCTATCAGTGTCCAGCAGAGTACTAATTAAAGCTTGTAGGAGGAGTTTTCATTCTCCTCTACTGTCCTATGAAACTGCAGAACTCATCTAACCCTCTGTCTGAACAGTGCTCATTGGCCCTGTGCTGATCACATGCACTCTCCCAAGAAAAAAAACTCTCTAGCAATAGACGCCAAACTGAGCATGTGCAGCATGCTCCCAAGGCTCTGTTCTATCAGGAGATGAGTCCAGGACAGTGGAAGAATATGAGGATCAGAGAAGACAGGATTTAAACACAATGCACAGAATTAACCCCTTTTTATGTTTCATACATTGAGTATAACAAGCATGTTTTACTGCATATACAGACTGATTTTATTGTTGTGGGCTTAGTAATACTTTAAAACAGTCCTTACACTAGTACAAATTTCAACCGCAAGTGCCTTCAGAAGATTACTAATCCTTACTGGTCTGCAAGGGGGTGATATCAATATCTGCTGTGTTACAAAACTCTGGTCTCCACCTGGGCTATAAACTACACTATATTGCCAAAAGTATTGGGAGCCCGCCTATACATACACATGAACTTTGATGGCATCCCAGTCTTTGTCCATAGGGTTCAATATTGAGTTGGCCCATCAATTGCAGCTATAATAGCTTCAAACTCTTCTGGGAAGGCTGTCCACAAGGTTTAGGAGTGTGTCTATGGGAATGTTTGACCATTCTTCCAGAAGTGCATTTGTGAGGTCAGGCACTGAAGTTAGACGAGAAGGCCTGGCTTGCAGTCTCCACTCTAATACATCCCAAAGGTGTTCTGTTGGGTTGAGGTCAGGACTCTGTGAAAGCCATTCAAGTCCCTCCATCCCAAACTCACTCATCCATGTCTTTATAGACCTTGCTTTATGTGTTGGTGTGCAGTCATGTTGGAACAGGAAGGAGCCATCCCCAAACCGTTCCCTCAAAGTTGTCCAAATGTCTTGGTATGCTGATGCCTTAAGAGTTCCCTTCACTGGAACTAAAGGGCCAAGCCCCACCCCTCAAGAACGACCCACACCATAATCCCCCCTCCACCAAACGTTACACTTGCAACAATGCAGTCAGCCAAGTACCGTTCTGCTGGCAACGGCAAAAACCCAGACAGGTCCATCAGATTACCAGACAGAGAAGTGTGTTTCATCACGCCAGAGAATATGTCTCCACTGCTCTAGAGTCCAGTGGTGGCGTGCTTTATTTATTTATTTATTTCAGGTACTTATATAGCGCAGCCAATTTACGCAGCGCTTTACATACATATATTGTACATTCACATCAGTCCCTAACCCTCAAGGGTGTGTACAATCTAAGGTCCCTAACTCACATTCATACAAACACATACTAGGGCCAATTTAGACAGGATCCAATTCACCTACCAGCATGTCTTTGGAGTGTGGGAGGAAACCAGAGTACCCGGAGGAAACCCACGCAGGCACAGGGAGAACATGCAAACTCCAGGCAGGTGGTGCTGTGGCTGGTATTTGAACCAACGACCCTAGTATTGCCAGGTGGAAGTGCTAACCATTTAGCCACTGTGTTGCCCCCTTTACACCACTGCAGCCGACACTTTGCATTGCACTTAGTTCTGTAAAGCTTGGATGCAGCTGCTCCGCCATGGAAACCCATTCCATGAAGCTCTCTATGCTCTGTTGTGCTAATCTGAAGGCAACACAAAGTTTGGAGGTCTTCAGCTATTGACTCTGCAGACAGACGGCAACTTCTGCTCACTGTGCACTTCAGTATGCACTGACCCTGCTCTGTCATTTTACATAGCCTACCACTTTGTGGCTGAGTTGCTGTTGTTCCCGGTTGCTTCCACTTTGTTATAATACCACTAACAATTGACCGGGGAATATTTAGTAGCAAGGAAATTTCATGGATGGACTTATTGCACAGGCGGCAACCTATCATGGTACCACGCTTGAATTCACTTAGCTCCTGAACACGACCCATTCTTTCACAAATGTTTGTAGAAAACAGTCTGCATGCCTAGGTGCTTGATTTTATATGCCTATGGCCATGGAGGTGATTGCAACAGCTGAATCCAGTGATTTGGAGGGCTGTCCCAATACTTTTGGTAATATAGAGTATAAAAAGTAGTAAGTCACACCTACCTTAGTAATGTCCAAAAACGGATTTATTACTCAGTTGGTGAAACTGTCCCTAGTAATGTTGGTACTTAAAAAGTAATATATGCTGTTAATGACTTTCTTAAAGCTAAACCCCAGGGAAAATTCAAAACTACCATTGCAGTGGGGCTTCCCCCCACATTGCAAGGGATAACTGTTCCTTTTTGTCTTGATGGCCATCAAAAAGCAGTTTCAGTATCTTATCCCTAGCTCATGCAGACTTCCTCCTCTGCATGTGACTTGTCCCCCAAAGCCCCTTCATTTTGCAAACAGACATTATGACATCACCATGCACAATAAATGACCAGCAATCCTGCATTGTAAGTGAGGACACCAACAACCTGGAGAGAGAGACAACTGCAGGGGAGTAGATAGAAATGAGGATTTAACCTTTGCAATGTGTGTGTGTGTGGAGGGGAGCCCCCTGCAAGGGTAGTTTTGACATTTCATTTGCTTTAATTTCGGGTATCTGTCACTCAATTTCACAAATTTCATGCCTTAAACGAGAAAACCCTAATCCTTTGGATTTGTGATGGAAGTGATGTCTTGCAAATACTTTCTGTCTTAAAAAGGCACTGATGTATTTTCTGTGAAAAGCAGAAAATCTTTTGAACATCAAATTCCCATGAAATAAGACAACTAAGCCATGGTTTCTTGCTATCCCAAAAATGTTGATGATATACTTTTCTTCTATTGGAAACCTAAAGTTTACTAATAATAAACATTAACTTTTATTATGTGGTTGGGTAGATTATGGGCATTTCCTTTTCAAACAAGATGTTAATTATGTTTATCCTGCCTACATAGAAAATGGAAGTATTTAAGTCAGCATTGCTAAAGGGAGCAGATCTAAGGTGGTGATTCTACATTGTGTCAATGATATACAAACCATATACAGAAACATGTATAGAAAGAACACCTAGCTGTGTAATAATGAAAGTGTTGTAAGCATATTCTAGGTCACACAATACCTGTAGAATGGCAAATGTCCAGACCAGTTTGAAAGAAACGTATAATTAGGAAAACACTTCCTTAAGCTCACCATACACATTACAATCTGATTGTATCAGGGGGGTTCAAGTCAAACTGGGACATTAAATGGCAAGTGTGTCCTATTACTGACAGGTGGCACACATGTCGCGTGGGCCAGTTCAAAGACTGATAGTCAAGATGGCAGACAACAGTGTTAGTGCGTGCATGGAACAGTGTGTGGTGATGAAGCTTCTTGTGAACGAAGGCGAAAAACCCACAGATATCTACAGAAGAATGAAAGCACAATACAGTGATGAGACGCTCAGCCACAGTAAGACATTTTTGAATGGTGTAAACATTTCAAAAATGGCCATATGTCCATCAGTGACAGTCCTGGCCATGGTAGCTCCCAGCCTACAGTAGTCGTTCCTATGAACATTCAGCACGTGGAAAGCCTGATCCTGGATAATTGACGCATAACCTGTCATGAAATTACACAAGGGACAAATCTTTCTGTGGGAACAGTGAACACAACGATGTCGAAGTGAAGACGGCTGTCCTAGGATGGTTCAGGAGTACTAACAAATATTTCTATGCCGAAGCTTTACAGGCATTAGTTAAATGCTGGGATATGTGTATAAATGTAGAAGGGGAGTATGTTGAAAAATAAATGCAGTTTCTACTCATTGAAATTTGTTCTTTTTATTAAATAAACTCCAAAAAAGTTGCAATTAGACTTGAATATTTCCCTGTAGATCGACGAAAAAGTATGTAGTGCAAGGGCCTGCCTGACTGGATACAAATTAATTAGATTATTTAGGTGAGTCCTCATATCACATAGTTATGGTACATCTAAAGTTGACTGTACAGAGATCATATGGTCAGATTGTAACATGTATGATGAACCTTAGTCGCTGACCCAGGAGAAACATGCTAATCAGGAATTGTGACTTAACCTGTGGCATGCTTGTTCTTAATCAGTGGCTACAAATAGCATGGAAGCCAGAGACAGACAACTAGCATTTTTAGAAATAGCAGCCCTCATACATTTTAGTAGTTTTCCTTTAATGAATATCATGGAAATGACCGCTTATCACATTTTTGTACATACTGTAAATATTACACAATCGAAGCAGAGGATGCATGGAGAGTTTAAATACCAAAGACAGAATGTTTATATATGACTTAGTAATTTAGACCACTGGAGAGAAAATCCTTTGGTGATTACGTGTCTTTTATGCATACAGAGATTGTAACTCATTTTAATCTTTTGCAGAAAAAGGAGAGGCCAAATTACTGTACATATGGAAGGAAGCTAGGCCTTGAAGCCGGTTCATCATTTATGTTGGCTTAAAAGTCTGCCAGGAAGGACTGCTACCTACCTATTCTTTTTCCAGAATCTTTTCACAAACCAGTTTGTTTATAAATGTCAAGATGCACACAACTGGTTTATATAAATATCTTGTTTTTTTGCATTTTATAAATGACCCCTCATATTCATTTGACCTAAAACCATATATAACTGGCCAGCATGGACAACATAGAATGCACATACTCTCTGCCTGTCTTTTTTTGGCATATATACCAAAGTTCAGTTCCTCTTCAAGGCTTCTGACTTGGATTTCTTTTTGGTACATAAACATTTTTAACCTAACATATGGGTACGTATCCGTAGGTGATGTAACAACTGTATTGGTTCTCATTCTCGATTGTGTGCTCAGTATGACACTGTCACACTTTTAACCAGTCCTACAAGACAACATTTTTGTCTAACTCCACCTGCCATCCCCTACTTCCACTTGGCCAGGAGTATCCCCAAGAACCCATATGAAGCCCTTGTTAATCCTTATACCAGTGGCTGCATCCATGACTAATGTAGGTTTATAACCTACATCTTCACTGCCACCAGGCAGTCTCTGGCAAGGGCATGGAGGTTTGGTACCCCTACAATTCAAACAAATCAAATAAAAAATAGCCTGGTACATGATCAATAAGAAACTTACAGCTAATCTTCATGACAAGGTTACCAAATTTAAAAAGAGAAAGAGTTCATGGAAATGCACTATTTCCCATAGACTCCACAAATGTTCTATGAACTATTTAGCAATTTATACATGACAAAGGGATATGGCTTTAGACCCAGTGGTACCCACACACCAAAGTAACGTCAGCCCTCCACAGACTTATCCCTCCTCACTCCCCTATCCCCCCTCATTTCTTCTCACCTATACTTTTCCCCTTCTTCCTTTTACACCAACCCTCTCCTTTTTCCCCTAACCCTTTGTTTTTCTCTAATATGTTTATTTTTACAATTCCCTTGGGTCCAAAGGGAACTTCCCAGTTTAGGGCTCTTTCCCTAGCCAACCTACAGAGGCACTTTTATGCAGACATCCCTGCATTGAAATGCACTTAAAGAAGTGAATGCTCACTTGTCTTCACATTGTTCTACCCAACAAAGGCCTTTGTACTGTACACAGTTATATAAACCTCAAGATACATTTTGTATGTGCTACACTGTTATCTTTTAGCTCAATTACCAGTACATACAATCCACCACCCACTTGATTACTGCAACTCCCTCCTTACTGGCCTGCCTCGCCGCTGGCTATCCCTGCTTCAGTCGATCCTGAATACAGCTGCCAGACTCATTCACCTTTCCAACCGCTCCGTTTACGCCACCCCCTCTGCCAATCCCTCCACTGGCTTCCGATTGCACAATGGATCAAATTCAAAATCCTTACACTTACGTACAAAGCTGTCCACCATACTGCCCCGAACTACATCACTGACCTAATATCCAAGTACCATCCAGCACGCACACTCCGCTCCACACAAGACCTCCTTCTCTCTAGTTCCCTGGTCTCCTCCTTCCATGCCCACCTCCAGGACTTCTCCAGGGTGTCACCCATCCTCTGGAACTCCCTGCCCCAACCCATCAGATTATCACCTACTCTCCTCTCTTTAGGCGCACCCTGAAAACCCACCTCTTTAGGGAAGCCTACCCCACCCCCTGCTAACTTGCCGACGTCCTCCACTCTTCCTACCACTCCATCCCCCACAGCTTTCTCCTCCTGTGCCACCATCCCCTCCCTCCTAGATTGTAAGCTCGAAAGAGCAGGGCCCTCGATCCCCACATGTTCTGCATTGTATTGTATTGTTATTGTTCTGTCCCCCATTGTAATGTACAGCGCTGAGCGAACTTTCGGCACTTTATAAATACTGTATAATAATAATAATTACCAATATATATTGATATCATTGTATGTGGAAAGACTGCTCAAATGCCTACTTCTTTATGCTACACAATATCTCTGTACCTCTGACATTATCTATATACTCCATTCTTTATTCTTAAAACTTTTAATATTTTTTTTAAACAGAACAGCTCTGTTTGTTCTGAACCTAAGGCTACATGCACACTGCAGCTGTCAGAGACATGGGCGTTTAAAGGCACAAATCTGAATACACCAAAATTACGCTTGGGAGAAGAGCATCTGGGCAGAAAAACCACCTGTTCTTGCTCTGAAGCTTTTTTAATTTCAATGGCCCAAATAAATTATTATTCTGGTAAATTAAATAAAGAAATGGCCAAGCATTAATGCACATAAACGCATTAAAAAATTTGACTTAGGTGCGTTTTTGAACCTGCTTTACTCCTGCTAGGAGAAAAGCATTTACAAAAGCCCCAGTATGAATGAAGCCTAATTGTGGCAGACCTCTACAAGAATGAAAAGAGTTTTGATTAAATAGGAAAATGAATAAGAAAATTTGGGTTAAAAAGAAAGAAAGAGAATTCCAGAGGGTCATGTCTGTCTAGAGGTGCTACTTTGAAGTTGATGCAATTTTGTTTCT